AGAAGCTTTTTGTATATCAAAACAAAATTTAGCAAGATGTCCAAACCTACCATAAACATCACATTTAAAAACATGTGGTCTACTAGATACATTTGGAAAACGTGATTTCTTTTTCAAATCAAAACAATATTCGGCCAAATGACCAAAACGACCACAATGATCACACTTGAACACACTAGCATGCTTATGATGAACTTTGTGAGAATGAGCATGTGAATGTGTAAGTGTAGAAGAAGCTACATGAGATGCACAAGGAGCATTAGAATTCTTATGTTTGTGTGCATCATAACAAAACTTAGCTAAATGACCTTGACGGCCGCAAATAGAACACTTATAAGTTTTGCTATACATGTGTGCATAATGAGTGGATGACTTCTTAGACTTAGCACACATATCCATAAGCTTCTTATGATTATTAATGCATGTTTTCAAAGTTGAATCTAAAGATGAAATACTATTTTTCATAAGATTCAAATCTTCATTTTTAGGCACATATGCATTTTTAGAAGTAGAACATAAATAGTCATTTATAAATGAAGCAGTGTTATTTTTTATGTTCTCTACTTCTAACATGGCATCAATCTTAGCATGAGATAAGCTAGAAATGGATGATGATAATTTCTCATTTTCCAATTTTAACATATCATTACTTTCTTTAAGAGCAACATTTTCTTTGGAAATGATATCAAAATTGGAAGCTAGCTTCTCATGATCGGATTTTAAACTAACATGCTTGCTTTGTAAATCAATAAAATCATTTTGCAACTTGTTAAAGGCATGTAATAATTTTTCACTAGCACAAGCAAGTTCATCACTAGATAAATCATTATCGGGTTCGAACTCGCAAACCTCACTAGGGCTATCGCCTAGTGGCCGTGTGCATGATGCTCCACATGAACTTGAAGCGGGATCCTCCAAAGCTTGTCGGATCGCCTCCAAGTCTCCTTGATGCGCTTCTATGAATTTCCATAATGTATAAGCGCTATCAAAAGAATCAAGCTTGTTAGACATAAATGAATCAAATGCATTTAATAAAAATTCTAACATAAGCTTGTTCATAATAAACATCTTTTTATCATGTTTGCTCCACTTGGATTTCTCCAACGTGGGCACAATATAAGCACAATCAATGATTTCCCATAAATCGATATTTTTAGATTGAACAAATATTTTGAATCTAAAACACCATTGAGCATAAGGGAAAGCATTGAATTTAGGAGCAATACTAGAATCATAGCCTAAACAAGATGCATCATTCATATCCATAATTTGTAAAAATATGCAAGCAAGATACAAATGCAATCAAAACAAGATTAGCACAAAAATATAACTTGGATCTTTAACTCAAGGCGATTAGACCTTAAATCAAAGAGCACCAAGCTCTGATACCAATTGTTAGACCCTAGAGGGGGGGTGATTAGGGTCTTATGCTAATCTAATCCGATTAAATGCCAATTAAAAACTAATTAATAAATTATATTCTTGCAAGATAGATATACAAAGAGTTAAGTGCAAGAATATGCAATATAACTGTAGGAATGCTTAGTAGGTTCACAAGTAATCATGGAAAGCTTCATTGGGATGTTGTCCAGAAATTGATGAGATATTTGAAAGGAACTATAGGTATGTGTTAGACCCTAGAGGGGGGTGATTAGGGTCTTATGCTAATCTAATCCGATTTAAATGCCAATTAAAATTTATTAACAAGTTATCCTAGCAAGTATGAAATATAACAACTATATAAGCTAGGATAAGCAATATGAACAATGAGATATATCCTATATGATGAATATATATATGCAAGGATATCTAAACTAACACAAGATGATATATCCTATCAAAGAGATATACAATATGATATATGTATATGCAAGGATATAAAACTAACACAACGGGTAAACAATATGAACTAAATAGTGGATCATATAAATAATGAGCTATGGACAATGGCGATATAAGATATGAACATAAATATGAATGAACGCCAAAGCACACTCAAACAAGCAATATGATCACGGAGTTCGGACCTTCCGTCCTACGTCTCCGCTCCCCACTCCCCGGGAGAAATCTACTATCACAACCGGGTTTTCTACGTTCACCCGAATAACGTTTACACCTCACAGTGTCGGTTTTCAACGCTCACCGATCAACGTCACTCCTCACAATCGGTTTTCTAGTTCACCGAAAACTTCACAACACACTCGGTTTCTAGCTCACCGAAAACCTAACTTCTCTACAATAGATGAGAACTCAATTAAGCACAACTCAATGTTACAATCTCTCACAACCCTAATATACTATGTATGCAAATACAATAAGCTCATGTGGGTGTGTGTAACAATGAGATTCAATAAGTCAAAACTAAACTCAATTTAAAATCTAGCATATAGAAATTTATGAATAAAACAATAAATAGCTAGAAATAGAATTTAGCGATTCTTCTCTGAAAACACAAAGAGAGAATGATGAAATGTTGAAGATGAACTCTTCAATAGTTGATGTAAACTCCTCTTTGTAACAGCAAACCCAAAACAAACTTAAACCAAAACTAAACAAGCTTAAACCCTTGTTTAAAACCTTGTTTAAAAACTTCTTGGATATCTTGAAAGAGAACAGCAATGGGGTATTTATACCCATTCAAAATCTCAGCCAAAACCCCTAAGTAAAAGTCCAAAATGTCCCAGAAAAAATCAGATCAGAAAATAGTTGTTAGGGAACCAACGGTCACATTGGCAGAGCGGCGGTCGACCGAAAAAATTCGCGGTCGACCGCGATGCAGATCCCAGACTGAGAATCGAGCAGGAACTTCGTCGGTCGACCGGTGCGGTCGACCGAAGGAAATATCGAGCTCTCGGTTGACCGGTGCGGTCGACCGACAAACTCTCTGCTACCCAGAAATAAATGAACAATTGAGCGGTCGACCGGTGCGGTCGACCGAAAACTGATATTACAGAAAAATAGGTTTTAGAGCTGATTTTTGAGACTTTGGAAAATATGTTAAAAATAACAAATGAAGTCCAAAAATAATAAAACTTTGGGAAATGTATATAAACATGTAAATGAACATGTTACAAAAAGAATTTTCCAAATTGCATTTCCCATTTGTGAAAAATCATCATTTTGCAAAATAGTCCAAAACACGAAAATGTAAACATATGAATTTTGACATTTAGGCTAAACCATGTATAATATTTTCACAAAATTACATATTCTATGCAATAAGTACTAAAACACAATAGAGTATGTAATATCATAAAAACCAAAACACATGTATGTATATATATAACTATATATATGCATAGAAACCAAAACTTATGTATATATATATATATATATATATACGAAGAAACCAATAAATGTGTGTGTATAGATATTGAGCTTAACGTACTTAACACACATAATATAAAATCTATACTAAGTTACCCAAGCTAGATCTTGATCTTCAATAAGCTCGACTTGGTACACGTTGCGGATGAAGCTAAACTTGGATCTTGAACTTGAATTGTACGATGCTTCACTCCACAATTCCTCCAACCTCCTCTTGATATGATCGTGTAGGCTCAATCCATCCAACCTCCAACATATTGTTTGTCTACAATAAATAACAAAATACAAACACTAGACAAACAATATTAGATGTAAATTATTTGTTAAATAATCATCAAAACAAGAAGGCCAACACTTCGAAGTTTGTTAAATTCACTATATGGTAATGAAGTTATAAACTTAGATGATGAATCCACTCTTACAGCTACTTCTCATCATAATGCTATTAGAAATTATTTTCAAACCTTATATAATGAGTATGCAGCTAAACATGGTGTAGCTGCGCAGCAGTCTACAGCTTCGGCTTCTTCGAGCTTAAGTTGAGGTAAAAATATAAGTTTTGATAGGTATGCAATGGTAGTTGAGCTAACTGATGGATCTGGACTTGGATCAGCATTGTAGGTTTCTAAAATAGATGAATATTTATCTGTTTCTTTAGTTAAATATCAAAATAATAATTTAGATATTTTACAATGGTGGAGAGTATATGGATCAGTTTCATATCTTATACTTTCCACCATGGTTCGTGACTTACTAATAGTGCAGGTTTCGACGGTAGTTTCGGAATCCGCCTTCAGCCCTGCAGGACGTTTGATTGACGATCACAGGATATCATTAGATCCGTATATTGTACATATGGTGATGTGCTTACATGATTGGTGGAGGTACGAGAAGAGAACGCAATGCATCGATTAGTTGGCTGAAATTGAAGATAAATTTAAAGAGTTGGGACTAACAGATAGATATAAATGTTAAACAAAATTCATCAAATTGTAGTTTTTATTTCTTAGCTGAAAATTTGTAATGAATTATTTTGGAAACAGTTACAAATGATAGTGATATAGGTGAATAGATGCCAACCTAGTTGAGATGTACTCATCTATTGTGATGCGACGAATTTCGAAATAAATTTATACTTGTAAATGATTTATTAATTATTAATAAAAAAGTTACTTTTATCATATTTTATTTTTATATTTTTTTTTTGTATTTGTATTTACGTAATTTCAAGTGGTTAATAATATTATTGTTTTTTATTAAAATTTTGTGTAATTTTTTTTATGTATAATTAAAATTTTAAAAAGATTATTTTTTTAAAAAAAACAAAAAATAAAAACAACCGGCCCGGCCCGGACCACTCAGGCTCGTGGGCGGGGGCTTCGGTTTTTGTCCGGTCCGGATGGACAGCCTTAATTCCATATAACCAAGAAAACTAATTTGCAGCATTCAACCTTTCTACCGGAAACTTCAAAGTCCAGCCCTTCCGCTGAGTCGTTGCACGCGATCTCCGAAAAACGCCGACGCCGCTTATTCGTTCCCCGTTAAATTCCTTTTTTTTTTTTTCTCTCTCTCTCCCAACAATCTCCACTCACAATAATAAACCCATCAAAAATTTCGAAAACATCTAATAACCGCTGAAGCGATGGGGGGGGGCGAAAGCGGCAGGACAGTTCGACTCCAGAGACCGGGCGCTGGGCGTCCGTAACCCGTACCCGCCGCCTCAGAGCCACCCGCAGGCTCGGCCTCAGCAGGCGTTTCACGTGGGTCAGAGCCCGTACCAAGCGGGCATGATACCCCCCAACGCTGTTTACGGGGATCCCAAGGGGGTCCCGATTCAGCAGACCATGTATCGGGACACCCCCGCTCCCTTCAACTGCGTCTACTGCGGATCCTCTGGGCTCACCACCGTCAGGTTCCCCACCCTCGTCCCCTCCTCTGACTCTGCTGCTGGGGTTTAGGGTTTCGGACTCCTGCGTTATTTGGGATTTTACGTCTGTTGATTTTTTCCATTTAATTTGCCGGTTTATTGTTGTCATG